GTAGTTATATGCAGGAGGGTTTCACCACCATTGCAAATCTTGTCATATGTTGCTACTTGTGAATGATAATAAGCAGCCTTGGGAATTTTTTTTATATCAATTTTTATTTTATTTGAAAAATAAATTTGGATATATAAACAAATAGACAAAGTAAAAATAATTACAAAATACCACACAACAAAGAGGAAGGAAAAAAAATTACAAAACCAAGCACATAGAGTATACCTAAAAACCACCAAGAAAAGGGTGGATGGCAGAGTAAACACTTACAATAGACCAACTCTACATAAGGGCCCTACCGTTAGAGATAAGTCATACAGAAATACTTAGAAGGGCCTAGCTCACAGACGAACTCATATGTTTTAACCAAGGTAACCAATTCTCATCAAAGCGTTTTAATGAGTTTCTAAGAAAAAAAGTATGTCTCTCATAAAAGATACACTTTTTTGAGGTCGCATATAGAGTCAGATAGGGTTGGAGGGTACCGAGAAGTTCACTTAAGCAGTTTTTACCTGTGGGCTACGAAGAGCACACAGATAACAGTAATCTATACTGATGGCTTAAGCAAAGAGAAATCGGCATAGCCCAATAAGCAAGTAAGTGGGTCTAATCAAAGGTTCACATCTACAATTCCACTGAGCATGCCCACAACCTCTGCCCAATACCTCTGGAGCTTGGGGCAGCGCCACAACAAGTGTATCAGGGACTCAGAATTACCACATTGGGACATGCCGGGTTCAATCTTAACTCCATAGCACACAGAAATTCTGCGGTCTTGTACACCCTATGAAGAATAAAAAACTGGATCAACTGGTGCGAAGGACTGAGACAAGGGGAAGTGCCAGAAGGACCCATGTGAGGAGTTCTCCAAAAGAGCTAAATATGTATGAGACCCCTAGTGGAAGTCGCCTGTACAACTCTATCCAACACCGGCACCGAAGAAAACCAAATTGAAGAAGAAGAAAATTTAGCAAAGCGTGTCGCAACTGCAAATATTTGTAAGAACACCTGGATTTTAAGAAATTTTCATTTGTCAGCTGCTCAAAGGATTTAAGTAGGCCATTCTTATTTACCTGTGCAAAGGTATGAAATCCTGCCTTCTCCCACCTCTGAAAGCCCTGCAGGGTGGACAATTTAAGGAGCCTGTCATTGCCTCATATAGGGGTATATTAAGCAAGGGAGGAAGCCCCCATAACTTCTTAGCTACATTACATACCTTGAACATCAGTGCACAGGTTGGCATTTTGGCGAGAGCAGAACAACCCAACAGCCCATTCAAGACATACAGAGGTTCTTGGAACAAACATGTAATTAAACAATATACTGGCTAGGGCCTCAATGTCCCATCATACAAAATGCTGCAATTGAGCAGCTAATAAGAAAATTTGCGGATTAGGAGCCAATAGGCCCCCAGCCTCTTTTGGATATTGTGATAGTTCCAATTTGATACAAGGAACCTTGTTGCGCCAAATTAAATATCTAAATATACCATTCAACTTAATAAAGTTCTTCAAAGGAATCCAGATTGGGGAACTGTGTAAAAGATATAAAAGTTGTGGCATCCGATTCATACCATTTTTATTAAGTTTATGTGGCTTATTCCTGAAAGAGGTAGCTCACACCAGACCTTGCTTCTTTCTCTGAAACCTTGTCAACAATGGGAAAACATTATCCATGATATATGTCAATGGGGAGCCTGTCATAGTCACACCCAAATGTTTAAGAGATGAAACTATTTTAAGATGTGCAAAGGTGGATGGCAATACAATGGGCACAGGATCCAATGGGAGAAGCATAGACCTCTCCAATTAATGGCTAATCCTGAAAATCTAGCAAAGTCATCTATATATTTCCTGGCTGCTGGCAGAGATGACCAAAAATTAGATAAAAATAAAAGAACGTCTGCATAAAGGGAAACTTTTCCTCCATGTTCCCAACCCAGCTACATCCGAAGCTGGCCTTAACAAGCAAGCCAGTGGTTCAATAGCAATGGCAAAAAGCTGGGGGGATAGAGGGCATCCCTGCCTAATACCACGAGAAAGCTTGAAAGGGGAAGACTGCAGACCACTGACCCTTATAGAAGCCTTAGGAGCTGTATATAATAATTGGACCCAATGACAGAAGGTGTAACCAAGACCAAATATCTTTAGAACAACCAAGAGATATGGCCATTTCTATACTGTCAAAGGTCTTAATGGCATCCAAAGCAAAAAGAAAGCATGATCTGTTGAATTGGTGACCAGTATCTGTATATTTAAATATTCCCACCTAATATTGATAGCTGTGGACATATTTGGCATGAAGCCAGCTTGATCGGGATGAAAAATATGAGTTACTACCTTTTTAATCTATTTGCCAACACTTTATCCAATATTTTAAAATTCAGTTGAAAGTAAAGAGATGGGTCAATATGACTCTGAGAATAAGGAATCCTTATCTTTTTTTCGGGATGATTTTTTCAGCCTCACAAATTGTGTCGGGTAAATGACCCTCTGATAAAGCCGCTTTAAACATGAGCAATAGGGCCGACAGCAACACCATCACTTCACCAGCGTTGTGAATTCAACACTAACACCCATTGCAGTCTCTTACAAAGCGATAAGACCCCTAATTAAAGGTGGCCTTTATAACAGCATGTTGTTAGTAATCATCCATCCACAGCCTTGGAACCATATGGGATCTCACAGCAACAGATAGCTCAATGACACTCAGGAACTCCAGAGAATATCAGCAGGGATTCACTGTTTGCACCTCCGTTCCGCCATGTACATTAAGCCATGCAAGAGATAAGCAAGCATTCCATAGTGCACAGAATTATTGTAATAAGTGTTGTAATAAGTGAATCTACTTACATAGGTACAAGGATAATTTACATGTAAGCACAATTCGAGGGGGCAAAGCTTATGCTGACGTCATTACACCAAATAATATATAGATGCGAGCGCACTAAAAGCTGCTAAGCACTCAGGTAACCAGTAAAACCTCAAACAGACAAATTGTATTATAGTGCAGCGCTAAAATTTATAGATGAGACCAATAAAATGCAATCACTATAAAATAGTTCATATGATAGCTGGTGTCATAAAACGTGAATCCTATATTCAACTTGAAGTTGGTGCTTGTGCAGTCAAAAATAAGAAGAATGCGCACTCACCAGAATGCATAATAAAATGCGCATTTGTATGTAAATATCCTTATGTCACCGAAGGTCATCAAGGTCTGGTCAGGAATGGAGTAGAATCCCTCACTGAGTGTGCCTGGATCCTGTAGCCTCTGGTGTGATGGAAAGGTAACCGGGGTCCCTTTAAGGGATGGACAGGTCAGCTCACCAGGTGTATGGAAATCCTACTGCGGGTCCTGCGAATCTGTAAAGTAATCCTCCTCGGGGGAGGTTAAAGCAGAGAAAACTCCGTAGTGTAGTATAGTAAGGTAGTTTTATTGAGCATAAAACATCCAGAAGGTAGCAGGTATCCAGGTGGAAATGCAAATATCAGTGTAACTTGGACTAACTGTCCTGGCGAAAAGATGGCCGCCGGAGCTCCATGTTCCTGCGGCATTGGAGGAATTACAGAGTAAAGTCAGTCTAATCAAACAAACAGCAATTGCATAATTTTTCTAATGCCACAGCGCACAAGGCACTACATGGGGCTGCGCCTGCCACATTCAGACATATAAATTGAAGTATCAGATTCTATGCAGACTTTGTGACATTAAGGATGGGATTATGTAAACAGAACAGGGTGGTATCGGAACTGTCACACCTCCTAGCCTGTACTTGGACAATCAACATCTGACTTAACACATTACATAGTGATTGGATTAAGGTAACTGTGCCACCTGTTTTGACATAAATGCTGGGGTATGTTCCTTTCACTCAGTAGAACTGAAAAAATGGGTAAACTGTGAAAAATCTTTAACGTCACAGAACGAATCCAGTGGAATGGGAATAAGTTTTACTATTTGATGACCTGGTTAAATGAGAACATTTACTGTTATACACCAGTTTCTCTGAAATTTCAGACTTGAATAGTCCAGGGTCAGCTTGGCAACAATTGTAAAGATTTTCTGTGTAGGGCTGCATTTTTGGTAGCAGCAGAAACATCTAGCAGATAAGAACTCTTGTTATTTTAACAGCAGGAAATGGCTCTGAAATAAGGAGCAAATATAATCTGTGAACAATTTTCCTTCTTCTTGTCAATGCAAAAAGCAGCTCATTTGTAGTTCAATATAGAGATGAGCGAAGTATTCAAAAATTCGATTCGGCTGATTCGGCGAATTCGAGGAATAAATTTGATTCGATGCGAATATATTCGCTGCGATTTTAACTTATAAAAGGGTGTTTGTAGGCTTCAGAGAGCCTTTATATTAGTGCAGAACACTGTACCTTTAATTTAAATGCCCTTGGAGTCTGCTGGGGAAAGAGAAATAATACTGTCAGTCAGTATGACATGCAGATGAGTGCCGTCGATCTTAGAATCACCGCACACTTCACTCATTTGGGCAGTCACGGGGCCAAACCAGAGTGTGGAGCCACAGTGCGGCGGTGGAGGTAGCAGCAATGGGAGGCCATACAGCACCCTATGACAAAAATGGAACCCACCAGCAGTGTGAGGAGACCTGAAAGTGGCACATGGCAGAGTGTGGCGATGGAGACAGCAGCAATGGGAGGCCGTACAGGGACCCATGACACACTCTGGACCTGGCAGCAGCATTAGGAGGCGGTACAGGGGCCCATGGCAGATTACGGGCCTGGCAGCAGCAATGGGAGGCCCGTAATCTGCCAGCACCCTATGACAAAATGGAACACACCAGCAGTGTGAGGAGACCTGAAAGTGGCACATGGCAGAGTGTGGCGATGGAGACAGCAGCAATGGGAGGCCGTACAGGGACCCATGAGAGATTCTGGACCTGGCAGCATCATGAGGAGGCGGTACAGGGGCCCATGGCAGATTACGGGCCTGGCAGCAGCAATGGGAGGCCCGTAATCTGCCAGCACCCTATGACAAAATGGAACACACCAGTAGTGTGAGGAGACCTGAAAGTGGCACATGTTTGGGGCATGATTTCATGGCGGATTTAGTCAGTTGTGTCAGGAACTGGTGGTTTGAAATCCAGACTAATCCACGCCTGATTCATTTTCACAAACGCGAGTCTCTCCACACTTTGGGTGGACAGTCGTGTCCTCCGCGGAGTTACAATACTCCTGCCACACTAAACACGCGCTCCGATGCCACGCTACTGGCCGGGCATGACAGCCTTTCAAGGGCAAATTCAGCTAGTTGGGGCCAAAGGTCAAGTTTCGTTGCCCAGTAGTCAAGGGGATTGTCTACCTCGGTTGGCAGGCTGCTGTCCAAGTAGGCCCAAGCCTGTTGTTTGAGGTCCTGCTCCAGGTCCACCTGATGCTGCTGCTGCTGCGGCTGGTTAGTAGTTTCCTCACTGCACTGGTGAAGAAAGCTACTCATCATCGACTGCAGACTGAGGCAGCCGCTGCTGGTGGAGCTGCCACTGCTCCTACCACCCCACCCCTCCCCTGCTGCCATGGCAGCGGAACGCGAGCGCACAGGGCCCACAGTGTCTGAGGATGGACGTTGGCGCAGAAAGGCAGAGACCAGCTGACTATATAGGTGGTTTTTATAGTACTTTATTTTGGCCTCCCTCTCAGCAGGTGTGAAAAAGGCCACCATTTTTTGAACGGTAGCGAGGGTCCAACAAGGTGGACAGCCAAAAGTCATCCCTCTGTCTGATGGTTATTATTCGGCTGTCGCTACGCAAGCAACCGAGCATGCTATGGGCCATTTGTGCCAAGGAATGCGAGGGACTCCCTGCCTCCATCTCCACAGCATACTGCCACGGTGCGTCTGGGTCCTCTGTCTCCTCCTCCTCCTCCTCTACCAGATGCTCCTGCTCCTCCACTCCTGTCCGCTGAGTGGAAAAACCACCCATTTCACTCAATAATTCCTGAGCACCAATGTCCTCCTCTACCTCCTCCTCTTCTTCCTGTCCTGCCCCCACAGGGGTCATGTGGCGTTGAGATCTGTGCGCCACGTCTACCGCACCCTGACCAGCCATTGTTAACAGCATTTGTTCCAGGACGTGCAACAGAGGAATGACGTCGTTCATCCCATAGTCCTGCCGACTCACGAATAGCGTGGCCTCCTCAAAGGGCCTGAGCAGGTGTCACGCATGAGCTGCCAATGGCTGACATCTAAGTTACACAGGGGAGCACCTTTATCCGCTTGTAACATCAGGAAATTGGTGATGGCCTTTCGCTGTTTGTAAAGGCGGTCTAACATATGTAGGGTTGAATTCCACCTTGTTGCAACGTCACAGCATGAGGAGTCGGTACGGGGGCCCATGGCAGATTACGGGCCTGGCAGCAGCAATGAGAGGCCCGTAATCTGCCAGCACCCTATGACAAAAAATGTAACACACCAAAATGGAGGCCGTACAGGACCCATGAGAGACTCTGGACCTGGCAGCAGCATGAGGAGGCGGTACAAGGGGCCCATGGCAGATTACAGGCCTGGCGGCAGCAACAATGAGAGGCCCGTAATCTGCAGCAAAACCCTATGACAAAAAATGTAACACAACCCACAGCAGGTGTGAGGAAGACCTGAAAGTGGCACTATTGGCAGAGTGTGGCATGGAGACAGCAGCAATGGAGGCCGTACAGGGAACCACTGAGAAGACTCTGGACCTGGCAGCAGCATAGAGGAGGCGTACAGGGGCCCATGGGCAAATTACACGCCTGGCAGCAGCAATGGTAGGCCCGTAATCTGCCAGCACCCTATGACAAAAAATGAACACTCCAGCAGTGTGAGGAGACCTGAAAAGTGGCACATGGCAGAGTGTGGCGATGGAGCCAGCAGCAATGGAGGCCCTACGGACCCCTGGGACTCTGGACCGCAGCGCATTAAAAGGGGGCGGTACAGGGGCCCCTGGCAATTACGGGCCGGCACAGCAAAGAGAGGCCCGAACTCCAGCACCCATGACAAAAAAAGTAACACACCACATGTGAGGGGTTGAAAGTGGCACATGGCGAGTGGGCGATGGAGACACGCAATGGAGGCCCCACAGGACCCTGAGAGACTCTGGACCTGGGGCACAAGAGGAGGCGGGACAGGGGCCCATGACAGATTACGGGCCCCGGGAGCAGCAAGAAGGCCCCTAACGCCGCACCCCAAGACAAAAAAAAAAGGAACCCACCC